AGAAACAACTGGTGCTCCGCACCCAGTTGCAGCAGACGCTCGCCGTTGTCAGTCCGTTCAGAGTTAAGTCCATACTTACCACCCAGCTGAGCTTCTGAAGAGCTCAGACGCCCTACTTGTGCGTTCATATCCCCTGCAAGTACTATAATATCTGAACTAGTAGCACTGCGTAGCAGCGTGTTCAGTTCGTGATAGAAAGTGTCCTTGACTGCATTAGAACTGCAGTCCGTGGGAGCATAAGCAGAAATCACAAACATACAGCGTTTTATTTTACTTCGCGAATTCACCTTAGCTGATGTCGTCAAACGGGCTGCACATAAACGGCTGTTCACCGGAATCCAATCAACCAACGATGGCTCAGCCTTGGAGCTGAGAATGATACCTACACCAGCTTGACCCGTGTGTGCCGCATCGGCGTCTCCGGATGCGTGCAACCAATAACGAGAGGATAAGCCGGGTGCAGTCAATTCAATAACCCCGTTAGGGTCATTAATCCTAGTTTCGGACACACAACACACATCAACACCCAGTGTGTCCAAGGTGAGTGCGAGTGCAGCCTGCTGACCTGTTTGTCTTGGAGTGCGGACGTTGAATGTCGCCATGGAAACGGGATAGCGTGGTCTTATAAGGGACGTTCGCCGATAGGCGTCCGATAGGTGCTGTGGGATGGTGGCTGCAGATGGTTCTACTCCAGTAGCACTTCGGTTGCTGTCAATTAAGCTGGGAATTATAGAAGGAAGGTTAGTAATGGGGGCCGGGATGGGAGTAAGAGAAAAAGGTGGAAAAGAAAGAAGTGAGACGCCAGCAGTAGCATGCTTTCGCTTATCAGCCCTGCTGTATGCAGCAGATAAGGCGACCCTTGATAACCTGCGCGACGGCCGATGCAGGATGAAGTTTATGTTTGAAGAAAATGTCATGGTTGTATGTGGGCTGGGATACTGCCAGGGCGCCCAGACCTAGACAGGAGAACGAGTAGGGTCCTCATCCAAAGCCTTTGGCTCAAAAGCCTGTCCGCAAGGCAGCGGGGTGGCAGTGATTTAGTTTTACAGAAATGGACGCCATCCCATTTCAAACCCCCAACCTGGAGGACCATGAGACTGAGTTTGTCTGACCTCTCACCATTGACCAACCTGGTAGGAGTAGCTCTCAAGATGCGCGGAGGCATCACCCAGTAGAGCTCAATGGATCAATGAGGTACGCAAACCGTCGCACCACGTTAAGGTTCAGTCTCGTTGCGAGAAAGAAAGCAAGAAAGAGAGCAAAGAAAGAGCAAAGAAAGAAAGAAAGAGAAAGAAAGAAAGAGAGCAAGAAAGAGTTGTCAAGCAAATTTCCGGTAGATTGAAGCCACCTATTATCAAACACCCGGCTCCGGGTTGGGAGCGAATAAAGTAAATCGCGGCTTTGGACGCACTCCCATGGCTTCTATACACAATTGCAACTGTAAATTGAGCCGAGGAAGTTCTAATTACAACCGACAGAGCTTTCACGGGTTTGTCTTCTGACTGAAACATGTAGGTTCGCAAAACGTCAGGTCCACAGCTAAGGTAAAGCGCAACGCCCCCGCCTTGTCGGCCAACGAAGCGATCACATCTAAATGGTGCGTAGCCAGGTGGATGTACATCACCCTCCGTGATGTCCTGAGGCAGCCAGATTAAGGTGAATGCGAGTACATCGGGATGAAACCCATCCATATGCAGATCTATCTTGCACATCTTATTCCTTTGGCTGCGCATATTGCTTAGCACTATCTGAAGGTGTTGATAATATCTAGCCCTGGGTTGTACGCTACCAGGACTTGCAGCACGGAACTAGTTCTTTATCTCTACATTTTTATTGAATAGCGTTTTGTTTATCGCTTTGAGGTCACAACGTGCTCGTCGTGTTGCACGTTCGAGCATTTCTTTACTGAAATCCTTGTTTGCGAACAGTAATTGAATAACACTGTAAAGAAATTTTGGCTTTGTCGGTTTTGCCCATAAAAGTGAGATCAGAGTACAGGATTGCACCCCCAGCAGATTCCACGCAATGTTATCAATGAGCGATTAATGCCCGCTTAACGAAAGTTACCGATGTCATACAGAGAAAATCAGCCCTGGATACAACGGAGGCGCTGCCATGTCATGACTGCTCGTATATTCCGACGTTAATTTTAACATGTAACAGGGATTGCATGGATATCTGACGTAAGTGTATGACTAGTCATTTCCGCTAACAGTAAATGACAGCGGTCTGTCTTGCTGGTAGGAGTATGAGCAGTGAGGGTCTATCAACGTAGTTCTGTAGTCTAGTTGTAGGTAGCTCTTCTCGTAGTCTAAGTGGCCGGGGTTCGATTCTTGGTGGGGACGGCGATGGACTAACCAGTATCACTAGATCGCGTGGTTGTGCGCATGTCGTTGTGGTCACGCCCATTCTCTCCTTTCGCAGTTTCAGTGAGCATTATTAGGAACGTAAGCACTTTATGCACTTTTCATGAGGAAGTTGACGGAAATGTACGCACCGGTTGTGTTAACGGGCTATGTTGAGGGCAAGGTCATAGGTACTCTAATGCCATGCGTTGGGGAATAAACAAAGGAGTGTAAAGGAGGAGTGCTGCTGAACCTTTCTCCGACAGTCCGATACGTTCCGTTAGGAATTATTTCGGAATCTCAGCGGTCTGTCCGCGGAGTTACATGCTGGTAGGATCGCCAGAAGTTTGGAATTGTAATAACGTGCAATCAATGATGGTGGCAGGGTGGGTAATGTGGCTAGATTATTCTTACAGAGAGCAAAATCTGGGGAAAAGCAGGCGTTCAAAGGAAGAGTTGCACAATTTTTCGCGTGCGCCCTCTATATGGAGAGAAAACCCTGCTATATTTGTTTAGTTCTTTAGAGGGGAAGGTTGGTCAAGCCGTCGTAAGCCTTGAGCGTGCAGGGCAAACACACTGAGGAAATAGGTGCCTCGCTGTCCGAGTTAGAGACGGCTTGCGCGGAAGCAGTATGTACGTTGAAACGTTTTGTCAGAAGTTGCTTGTCGCTGACCAATACTAGACACGAATCGCAGTGAAAGTTAACGCCTTTAGAGGTAGTGCGCTGAAGACATTGGTAAAGATCATTATCAATGTTACAGCAAACTATATGCATCCATCTGTCGCACAGTGCGCATTGGACGGCCTTTGAACGTGAGGTGAAACTCTCCCCGCAGTCCACGCACTTAGATGTCATATCTACCAAAAGAAAAATTTGACTATTGTCAATGTTCGTCAAAAGTGTCTATTTAAACAATTATCTTCACAAAAATTTTTACAAAGATTTTGTGGCAGTACTCTGGTAGAAGAAAAATAGTAAAAACGCGCGCACTTCTTAATCACAGAGGAACGTGATGTCAGGGTACATCTTGCGGCTATTTCAAAAGTTGCGCAACTAGGATTAGGACGGAAAATTGTCTATCGCGCTGAGTTATAGATCGCTGGAATTCGCTCACAGATCATGTGGTTAGTGAACCTACGGTTAAGGGTTTTGCGCGCCAGCTCGATGCTCTTGGGTGGCAACAGCAAACCTTTCCTTTTTCGTAGCTGACTTACCTTCACTTTTCATTTCTTTTTTATTGACTCAACTATCTTGGTATCCCACTTGCTTAGCTCTTATCACTTTCTCTTTTGCCTTCAGCGTTTACTTTTTTCTCTTTCTTACTTCATGTAACCGACCCAGCAGGGACTGCTAGGGCAGGATACGTGGGCATTAATTGGTTGGACAGTGTGATGCGGTCTTTGTTTTAGGTCCATCAGTACTTCAAGGTTCGCTAACTCCTGGTTCAACGACCCGCCGAAGAAGGAACACTCACGGGATAATCCTATCGTTCCAGTCCTGCTTGAACTTGAACTTGAACTTGAAGATTCTAATTGAGCTGCCAGTGTGATGTTATGGGCCGTGACTTTAATCGGTGGCGAGTCACATCCGCCACGTTGCAGTGTTTTTTAAACGAACATTTGTGGCTTTTTATAAGGAGAACGCTTGCCAGGCGAAAACCCACCACCTCCTGAAACACTGCCGCCAATCCATTGGATTGCAAGTTGTAACTGGCTATGATTCTTATTGAACGTTTTTCTGCTCCGTTATTCACAGTCAAGTTAAGTCCCATTTTTCGCTGCGACGTAGTCGCAGCACCCTCACTCCGCAAAACCTAGTGCGCAATAAATAGTTTCCTGTCATTTTATGGCATGATTCCCGGGTATCTTTGTGGCTTTGCAGGTTTGTTCAATTCTGTGCAACTGTTATATTGCATTTGTTTAAATGCGTCAGAATCGAGATACGCACCGTTACTCTGCAAAACCTAGTGCGCAATAAATAGTTTTTGGAGATTTTATGGCATTATTCCCGGCTTTCTTTGTGGCTTTGCAGTTTTGTTCAATTCTGTGCAAATGTGATATTGCAATTGTTTAAATGTGTCGGAAACCAGATACGCGGTAGAAACAGTATATTTGAAATCGTACGCCATGGGGTCTGATTTCCGGAGAACCTTCTTTGGGCGTAGTTTTGACAGTTTTGACGAATTTACTGGTTTGTTTTCAGACTTTATGCTTCTTTATTACGTCAATTTCGTACGCTACAGCAGCAAAAAATGTAACCTGTCCCGGGTGAAGTATGACAAGGTGCTATATCGATGTGTCCGCTGCGCTCGGCGGAAGTCAAAAAGTACAGGAGTGAGACGTGTTTAGTCGGATTTCGCTTCTATTATTCTACATCTTTCAGCTCACGTGATACTAACTGCCAAGCTCGCGTTAACCTCATTAGAACTGGACGCAAGCTGAAAGTCACAACGTTCGATCTGTCTCACAATCACACAGTTAATCGCCTTCTTTTTGAGCGACACCCCATCAATCGCCGTCTGACGGACGATGAGTTCACTCAGTCCGTAGACCTTTTCCGCTACAACACCCCAACAAGCGACATCAAGCAGTTCGTCGAGGTTTGATTCGGAAAGCATATTACCAGCGATGATGTCCGCAATGTTTATCGTAAACTGAGACCTGGCGTTGAGTGTAAGTTTATTTTGATAGTTTTTATTTCCTGCAGTAAAATTGCCTCAGGTTATCAAGTCTATGGAAGAAGACGGAGTTGCGCGAATTATTTCTGAGGAAGGCTTGTGCACACACGTATTATTCGCTCGGCACCAACAAATAGAACTTTTCCGCCGATTCTCGCATGTCGTTTGTGTAGACGCTACTCATGGCACTAACCGTTTGAAGTAAGAATTGATGGCTGGCTTACTTGTTGCTTGCAGCTTCAAACTATACCAGTTTTTAATAACTGACGGCATGGGGTATGGCCGGCCAATATTTTATGCGTTTCTGCGTCGGGAAGATTACGCATCATTGCTTACGTTGTTCGAAGCGTTTCGGGATATCATGGGTCATGATATTCCCGTCCGCACAATAATGATGGACGAAATGGCCGCTCAAATACGTGCGGCGCGCGCCGCTTTTCAATACGACATTTTGTTGTGTTACTTCCACATCCGCCAAGCCATCAGGAAGCATGTAAGTGATAAATCTTCGTTTCATTCTGTAGACAAACATTAACCGGTCGCGTTATCTGTTTCATCGCATGACAACATCTGACACGGAGATGGATTAAAATCTCTTTATATATGTTATATTCTTGTTTTAGATTTCAACAAGATTTGAAGCTCCTTCAAAGAACAGACCCCCACTTTGTGCGCTACCTTACGTTGTACTGGTTGCACCTAAAACGCTCTTGGGCGAAACACGCACAAGCTGGGCTGGTGCATTTCGGCAATACAACGAAAAACCGAGTTGAGAATGCCAACTTGCGATTGAAGAAAGTTACCCATGCATCGGATGGCCTTGTTGCAGCCATTCGCAAAGTCTGGGCGCATTCGGAAGTTCCACTAAAAGAGTCCAAGATGCATGCCGCGTTGTTCTGTGACAGGCGTCAGCTACTAGAAGGCAGCGCATATGTTCACCGCGTAGTTTGCCTCTTAACTACGTACGCATGCAACTTAGTGATGCGCCATTTAGCACAACCCATGTTACAAGCAGTTTACTCGGACCTTGGAGATGGAGTGGTATGTGAATAAAATTTTCTGACGCTTCCAGTTTGAGATATCGCATCCGGGAAAACGCTTCACCATCGATTGCTCCTCGGGAACATGTACCTGTCCTTTTTATGAAACCATGTGGCTTCCGTGTGTGCATTTAATGGCGGCATACATGCAGCACGCGTATCCGACAAGTAAGCCGTTTCTGATACGTGCATCCATTTGCAGGCCAAATACCTATTTGCATCCGCTGGCTGGCGGACTACAACCTACCCACAGAGTCCATGCCGTTGCGGACGTTGAAAGTCCCCGTTACGAAACCATCTACGTCTAAAATTGCACATCTTGTACATCGTCTGAGAAGTGCTAAAGAGGTTAATCCATCCGAATTTTCGGTACTGTATCAAGAGCTATTGCGAATGACTAACGAAGTAATTGGTGATTCGTCAGACTTTCAATGTGCAAAGAAACAACCGCGTTGGCCGAAAATTATGGTGCCCGCAGATTTGTGTTTCACATGCAGCAAGCCTGTTGTGATTGACGCATTTCGCTGTGCGCACAATCGGTTACTTTACCATCGAAAGTGTTTGCGTGTGCAATCAGGAGCCCGTTGTACAATTTGTGTCAATGCTTCACAAACGGCATCTGTGCCCATGATGGCAGTGCAATGCTGTACTACCGGTAAGAAAGCAACTTTTTACCTCGATATTTAGCTGTTGGCCGTTCACCCTCACCGGATTTCACAGTTGCCTCTACCCCATCAACCTGCCCCGCTTACGAAGGTAAGAGACCGCTTAGTATAACTATTTTCTGCGCAGACAGTCAGGATGAGATTACCGCCGATCCGCGTACAAGTCAACAAACCGTACCCCATATTGCACGTGCACTGGGTACTGGTGATCTATTTCCTTACCTTTCATCGATAGCTTGTCGAAATGGAGCCGTGGTGTTCCCCTCAAACAGAGATATTGTGCAGCATAGAGTGTCAAAGTAAGCTATTCGGTGCAATTTAAACTCCCATTTTCACTTCATGGTAGCGTCGACATGGATGCCAGCCCAGTAAAGAAAACGCAAAGAAAAAAACTTGTTCAGATAAAAACTCTCATTCAATTACCCGACAGTAGGCTATATGTTCGCACTACTATTACGTTTTAGCCGATGAATACGACTTTGTGTAAAGATACCTTGAATGGGACATGCGCGTCCAAGGCACGAATATAGTGAACAACGCTGAACTTTCTCTTGCTGCCTTTTGTTAAATAAAATGCACAGTTTTTATATCGGTTTCGCCGCTCATTTGGGATTACAGCGTTTTGAAAAATGAACTGCACTAGCAGCACGATTGTTGCCAGTGAAATCGGACCCAGGTCGGTTGTATATAGGCTCCATCAGTGGCACATTTGGTGTCAATGTAATAGGACGCAGTTAGGTTGTGATAGCATATGGCTCGAAGTCTCGCGGTCGTTGTATATAGGCTCCATCAGTGGCACATTTGGTGTCAACGTAATAGGACGCAGTTGGGTTGTAATTGCATATGGCTCGAAGTCTCGTGGTCGTTGTATATAGGCTCCATCAGTGGCACATTTGGTGCTGATATAATAGGACACAAGTGTGTTGTAATTGCATACGGCTCGAAGTCTGGTGGTCGGTGTATATAGGCTCCATCAGTGGCACATTTGGTGTCAACGTAATAGGACGCAGTTGGGTTGTAACAGCATATGGCTCGAAGTCTCATGGTTGTTGTATATAGGCTCCATCAGTGACACATTTGGTGTCAACTTAATGGGACGCAGTTAGGTTGTGATAGCATATGGCTCGAAGTCTCGCGGTCGTTGTATATATGCTCCGTCAGTGGCACATTTGGTGTCAACGTAATAGGACGCAGTTGGGTTGTAATTGCATACGGATCGAAGTCTCGTGGTCGTTGTATATAGGCTCGATCAGTGGCACACTTTGTGTCAACGTAATAGGACGCAGTTGGGTTGTAATAGCATACGGCTCGAAGTCTCCTGGTCCTTGTATATAGGCTCCATCAGTGGCACATTTGGTACTGTTGTAATAGGACGCAGTTGGGTTGTAATGGCACACGGCTCGTGGTCGTTGTATATAGGCTCCATCAGTGACACATTTGGTGCCGAGGTAATAGGACGCAAGTGGGTTGTAATAGCACACCGCTCGAAGTCTCGTGGTCGATTGGTCGAGAATTGGTAATTGAAAATCAAGTTAGGTTTTGGGTTTGCGGCTACTGCATTGCGTAATTATAATTAATATGTGGCTTTCCGCTTAGTGTTTACAATATTTTTACCATGCAATTTTCGTTGCTGGAGTTCAAGCGGCGTTGGAAGATATACTGGGTGACCAAAAGGTCGTCCATAAGGTGTACATTTGCACTGCTGAGGGCCAAAAGTCTGGTCATTTAGGGAGGTACACCACTCACACGACGGCACGCGCTTTCGCTGCTCGAGCTGAAGGGATGCATATTCCGTCAACGTTACGCGCTAATCGAGTATAGACTAGTAAGTACGTACTAACACAGTGACGAATTATTCGTCACACGTGGCGCTCTAAAAGTCACTTGTGCTGACCGAAAGTACGGTTAAAAAGAAGGAGTTAACGCACTAAACAGCCCCGATAATTATTTAGAATATTAGTTAACAATATCCATGGACAT